AGACAGTTAGAAGGGCAAGTTCAACCCCAGCTTTAGTGGAAGTCAAAAAACGGTTTGCTTGTATTTCCTGGTAGGGTGGGGTCTGGAAGAGGTTTCCTGAAAATAAACTCTGCTACCATGGGGAGCTCTGGGACCACCACCCTGGTGTGGCCCATGTAGAAGTGCTGTACATGCAGCTCCCCTCCCTTGGGGCTGACTGAGTTTCTAATCCCCCCCCCAGCACCTAAATTAGCCCCCCAGTAGCTCTGACTTAATCAAGTCTTTCAATTAACTTTCAATTTTGTGTTCAAGTGCACTGGGTTCTTTATTTCTCACTCGCAGAGGACAGTTTACCAGCTTGGCAAGCCCCACTCTCCCACAGCGAGTCCTTTTGTATCTTCTTGGGTGTGTTTGGTAGGAAGGGACGGTGGCTGATCTGAGCGAGACTGCCTTGGCTCATGGTCACGCATGGTAACTGGGAGATGCTGCCCAGGACGAGCTCCTCAGCTGGGCAGGAGCTGCAGAGGCCTCGTCTCTGCCAGGATGCTGCTGCCCATCTGTTTGGATGGGGGGAAAAGCACATCTTTCCTTTCAGAGACAAGTTTTCTTTGCCTTGGGGAAGAAGTCGGCATTAAAACTGCACAGCCAGAGCCCACCCTCCCACCCCCCCGGATCCAAACATGCCCACCCATGAAGAGCTGCAGCAACAGCTACTTCACCAGGCTCCTTGAGGAGATGGAACCTGCAGAGAAGGCCAGGCAGGGCCAGGAAAGCCCTCATGCGCAAGGTCCAGCGCAAGGAGACTGCTTTCCCCTGCGTACGTGCACGGATCCCTCGGGGAAGGTGGGGCTGGGTGCAGTTTGGGCTATCTCATGGTGTTGCTGGCACAGCTTGCCCAGTGTTACGTGCTACTAAAAAATAAAACGTGCGGCTCCCTTGCCCCACGCCCAGTCGGCCCTGGTACCTCTCCTGAAGCAAGGAGCGTATCTGAGTTGCCCACGGCCTGGGCCCTGTGCCATGGGCAGGGAACGCCTGGCGTGGAAGGCCATGGGACAGGAATTTGCTTTAATCGAATGTGCGGCATTATCGGAACACTGCTCTGCTTTGAAGATTAGCTGCAAAGGACGTTCGCTTCTGCCAGCAAATATTCACTGCTAATACATTGCAGGGAAGCTAAAGTGATACAAATAATCTGTTATGGGCTGCTGAGAAGCTGGACAGGGAAATCTGCTGAGAGCAAAAATGGAGGTCTGGGGCTTCATCCCAGGCATCGATGTTGAGCCCTGCAAAGAAAGCAGCTGGCTGCTGCCACTGTCAGCAGCATTTTCCAATATAAACTTCCAGCCCCAGCCTTTAGATAAAAGTTAACTCCTTTAGCTCCTTGTCAGGCTTTTTTTATTATTATTTATTATTATTATTATCCTCCTCCTCCTTATCCTCCTTTCCTCCCTTTTTGTCCAGCTTCAGATAGTTCTGCAGCACAAGCAGTATTGGGCCAGCCTGCAGCTCCTGCAGCAGCAGCAGGTCTTCCCTGGGCTTGGTGCTGAGCCGGTGAGGCATGATGGTGGCTGGCAGAGGGAAGGGTCCCACCGCTCCTGGCACCAATTCAGTTCCCTGGGTGATGCCCAGCATCTTTTCACACACCCAGCAGAATGGCACTGAAATCAGAGCCACTTTGAATGGTGAGGGGAGAGCCTGCAGCGTTGTCCACGAAAACAGAGGCATACTGCCCAGCCTGGAGGGAGAGAGGGCATAATGGGGCTGGGACATCTCTGGGCACAGCCTGGCAGAGCAAAGGAGGGTGCTCTCCCCTGTGCACAGCAACTGGGAGCTGGAGGAGCTGCTCCCCCGGCATCCTGGGAAAAGGATGACATGGAGGCCGGTGGGGCAGACCACCCATAGTATGTGCTGTAGTGTCCCAGCAGACCTCAGCCCTAAGTGTCCTTTGGGCTTGGAGCTGGGCTGAGAAACAGACTCCATGCCCGGCCCTGGAGCTGGCACCATGGAAGGTGCCTTCCTGCCTCACAGGGTCCTGAGCCGAGCTGGTACCACTAACCTGCAAGTAAAGGACTCCGGTAACAGAGATGGTGAAAAGGTCACTGCCACTCTCCAGCCGGGACACGGTCTCCAGATTGCTGCAGAAGAGGGAGGGTGGTGCTGGGGAGAGTGTGTCCCTCCTTCCCCTGGGGCTGCTGGACTCCCTCCTCCCTCCCTGGCCCAGGGTCCCTCTCCCCTCCTGGCTTTGCCCTGCCCTACCTGTTGTGCTGGCAGTGGGACTGCACGCAGATCAGCAGCCGCAGACGATTCCCCCTGCGCGGCTGCCCCTTCCTCTGCTGCTCCCTGCGCACTGGGACAGAGGGGAGGGTGAGAGCCGTCCTGGACCTCCCCGGCGGGGCCGCGGGGGGTCCCGAGGGCTCACCGATGTGCAGCGTGGCCGTGAAGGTGTAGTACCCCGCGATGGGGGCTGTGTACTGCCCACTGGTCAGGTTCAGCCCCGGGCCACGGTGGAACATCCCCTCCCTCTCCGGCTGGGGATGGGGAAAGGCTCGTGTTAAAGAATCGGCCCCTGCGCCAGGCCGGGTGCCCCCATGGGCAGGAAGATGGAGCAGGCAGGAGAGGGCAGCAGGTTGGGCACTCACGATGTAGTAGAGCTGCAGCTCCTGCCGCCCTCTTTGCTCGACGGAGATGTTTTCGCGTGTCCGACAGTGGAAGGCGGCTTCCACGCGACGGTGGGACCCGGCCTGTGGGTTGCCTTCACCGCTTTCCTCCTCTTCCTCACGCCCCTCCCAGGCCTTCCTGCGCGTCTTCGCCTGCTCCTTCACCATGCCTGACCCCAAAACCCGACCAGGGCTCGCCTTTAGGAAGGAACCTCGGCTTTTCCTGGCCCCACGAGGAGACGGCGCCCGGCTCTGCCGCCCGGCCCCACGGTGCCTCGTCCCCGCTGTCCCCTCCTCCCGCCCCGGGGTCCCCCTCACCCCCCCGACCCCCCTTCCTGCAGCACTCCCCGGGGCCGCTGGGTACCTTTCAGCAGGAGGTGCAGCTCCCTCAGCAGCTCTTCCAGCACGGCGGGGGCCTCGGGGGGGGCAGGGGCAGCGCCCGGCACACCGACTTGCAGGGCAGCCTGGGCTGGTTGTCCCGGAGATTGGCCTCCGGGTACCGGAGCTGCGCCAGCCCCCGTCCCGTCCCGCATCGTGCCCGTCCTGCCCCGGT